GTTAACTGTATTAATCACAAATTGAAGCGATTGGTGCAATCTATTACTCAAATTTTTCGCTACTAGATGTTGTCGGTGGATAACACAGTGAATCGCAATTACCTCTGGTATAATTCCTTTAAGATGGCTTATAAACCCACGATATCGCCCGACCATGGCAGGAGCTCCATCTGTTGCCACCGATATAACGTTTGTAAATGGAATCGATTTTTGTTTAAAAAAAGCACTCAAAACGTTAAATATTGATTCACCTTTAGTGTCTGTCTTCAAAGTTTTCGCGAATAGTAGCTCTTCATGAATTTCTTCGCCCATAACAAATCGAACATATGCCAATAATAATGCTTCATTGCCAGGTAAAGTTGACTCGTCCAGTTGAATAGAAAAATGAGTTTTTCGTAGATAATCATACAAGAAACTTTCAACATCAGAGCCCATTTTATCAATACGTCTTTGTACAGTGTTGTTACTCAAAGGAATTCTTTTGAGTATGTCAAATGAAGATTTGTGCAGAAGTTTTTAAAACTTCTTCAACAGCAGATAAAATTAACTGTTCTCCCATGGTGTGCGGTGTTCCAGATTTTGCGATAAATAATGAGATATTGTAAGATGGCCCGCAAGCCATCATCGTTGCTTTCAGACGTTGAAGAGAACATACTGTGCACGGTGGGTCTCTTTTCATATTTTTCCTTTAATGTTTGGAAATATTTCAAATCTTTACCTATTTTATCATGATGACACCTTCTTAGATGATCTTCCAGCTTTGATGGTTTCATAGAGTCATTGCTCAAAACTTTGTTGCATAAAAGGCATGTGGGCAATCGTTTGTTTGCCTTTGATGGAAGAAAACCAAATTTTAAATATTCAACACTGTACTGACGACACTTCTTCTTAGATTCGGCCATGTTCTGTATCAATTACCTACCTGTAAATGTGTAAGTAAATAAATAAAAAAAAACTTTGTTTTAGTAATCTTAAGGCGATTCGAACTTAACAGGATATGGCTATTTTAACATAATATGATTAATTAATTATAAATATTATGAAATGAACAAAGATCCGGCTGCAAACTGTTTCTAATTATTAAAAGCAATAAATTGCTAAGATCCATAATGGAGTTTTATGAAAACGGCTAAACTTATTTTAATGTGATATGAAATTATTATTTCATTTATTATATTTTAATATATTTCTGTAAATTCTATAAAAACTTTTAAACAATATTTTGATATCAAAACTCCGCATTAATTAAATGAATTAGATAGGTAATAAAAATAAAGTAGGGACGATAAGTTCAATCTTTCTCGGCTTAAAACTATATGCATATAACAAATAGGCAGGTAGGTACTTACTTTTCCGACACTGGCCAACACCAATAACGATTCACTTTTCTTTATGAAATTCCAGAAACAAATGAGTAACGATTATCCTTGACATTCGTATTTATATTGGTGAAGAATCAAACACGTTCATGCAAGCACATAAACCACAAGTCGTATTAATTTGCACGTCTGAAGAAGCGTTGCGGACGGGACGGCGGCCGGCGCGGCAACGACAAGTCTCGACGCGTTGTACTGAATATGGAATATGCAAGTTTTTACAAGTAACAGTCGCTGAGCTTCTTAAAATATCTGCCTATATTGATAAGAGAAGACAAGTCAACATTTTAGTAACTAAAATGTTGACTGTTTATATTATAGACAGTTGAAGTTTTTTACAAGAATTTCTTCATCACATGGGTATGAGTAATCAATTGTTTAATAGTATATTGCTTCACTATCGAAACCAAATTAATTTTTATGCACCCCCGCTTACGATTGTGGACTCCCATTTATTACGCCCAACGTAGACTCCCGTCGAGTCTCCCGTGGACCCCTGGGGGTTCACCTGGACCACTTTGGGAAATACTGGTTTAAGCAGTTCCTGCAAAAACCGCTCTCGTGCCAATTTATAGCCATAGATATTTTATAGCGCTCTAAATTATAGTCGATTCAGCAAGAACAACATTATGTTGTTTCTAATAAAAACAACATTTGTTCACTACATATGCTATTTTTGCAATTATTGAAAAATTATAACATGTAGTGCTTATTTAGTTTTCTATTAATTTAGACCGGTGTGAACCTAGCAGCCAATTTCTAGTAACCATAATTCCGAATATTTCCGAATGATCAGTAGCGTCGTTCAAATAGAGTCAGTTAATTATTAGGTAACAAATAGGACAAAAGCAATTTAAACTTCAAACGAAATTTGATAACAGGATGTTCTTTCCCATCAATATTAAATTAAATTAAAATGACAGCACCATACTCATAAAAATAAAATTATTATTTTACCCGAGAAGGTAATAAGTCACATCAAAATGTATTTTTTAATATTTATAATGGTAGTATTAATACAAAGGAAAAATACGACAGATATAATAAAAGTTTTCCCACAAGGGTAAACTACTTCGTAATAATAAAATCAATATTTTGCCAGAGAAACGAATAAGTTATCACTTTAATCTGTTTTAAAGTATTTTTTCAGTTAAAATACGTAATAATAAAAATATGAATTACTATCACCCCTTCCAACAGGGGTAAAATGCCCTTAGGATATTAAAATAATTAGTTACCAAAGAAGGAAATAACTTATCACTTTAAAATGAACTCTAAAAAACTTATATTAGTGTTACATACTTACAGTAAAAATATGAATTACTAACGCCCCTCCCAACAGGGGTAAAATGCCCTTAGGATAATAAAAAAAATTGGTTGACCAAAGAAGAAAATATATTATCACTTTAAAATGTACTCTAAAAAACTTCTATTAGTATTATATACTTACAATAAAAATATGAATTACTAGCGACTCTCCCAACAGGGGTAAAATGCCCTTAGGATAATTAAAAAAAAATAGTTGACCAAAGAAGAAAACAAATTATCACTTTAAAATATACTCTAAAAAACTTATATTAGTGTTATATACTTACAATAAAAATATGAATTACTATCGCCCCTCCCAACAGGTAAAATGTCCTTAGCATAATAAAAAAATTAGTTGACCGAAGAAGAAAATATATTATCACTTTAAAATGTAATCTAAACAACTTCAATTAGTATACTTACAGTATAATTATGAATTACTATCGCCCCTCCCAACAGGGGTAAAATGTCCTTAGGATAATAAAAAAAATTATATGACCAAAGAAGAAATTAAATTATCACTTTAAAATGTACTCTAAAAAACTTATAATATGAATTACTAGCTCCTCCATTTCAATATTAGACTATCCATAAAGTAATAAACCATATAAAAAATTTCATAAACGTTTAAAATTCTTTACTTTTTGGATTTTAAAATTATGAAATAAAAATATTGATAATAATTTTTGTTTATGGATATTATGACTATTGACATTTCTATTTCTATAAATGCGAGGTTGCCAAACATAGTAAGAAAACTTATATGACAGGAATGACATTGGCTGTTTGAAAATACTAGCGTCTGGTTGGCAGGTGAACTTGACTTCCGAAGTGAAAACATATTTGTAGTAATCATTTCAATTTGAGCTGTGTTCAGGCCATTAGAGTCTATGCCGGTCGGCATATACAGGGTGTTAAAAAAAGTGTCACAAAATGAAATGTTGAATAGTATGACCCAAAATAAGCAGAAAAGTCTTAATAAATATATGACCGCAAATTAACGGTTTCGGAGATACGGACCATTTTGTGTTTATAACAATTTTTTATTATTATAAAAAAACAATGATATTTATAAACAATCAATAACAACATAGAGTTAAATGAGATGTTCAAAGTGCCCTCCCTCCATTTCAATGCATTGCCATTTGCCCGACCGTACATAAAATGCATGTCAGCTAATTCAATATTAGTGTAAACAGGCATAACGAAAATTTATAAAATTATTCACCCACAACAAAATAATAACTGCAAATAGTATCTATGAAAAAACATCGGTAGACTCCGATAAGAAAAGCAAGTTTTTGAGAATGAAAAAAGATAATCAAAAAATGATACAAAACACAAAAGCACAATCTCTGAAACCATTCATTTGCGGACATATGTTTATTAAGACTTTTCTGCATATTTTGGCCCATACTACCCCCCGTTTTATTTTGTGACACTTTTTTTTTTAACACCTTGTATACATACCTGACATTCTATATTATACTCTTTACAGTTTAAAAGACCCCTTAACGCCCATTTTCAATCCGATTTTTTTCAGAATCATCCCTTTATAAGGTTTGATTTTTTCTGAAGATTTTAATTTGATATTTTTTTGTTTTTAAGTTAGGATTTTTTCAATATTTCAACCCTCTTATCTCCCCATTTTTATTTATTTATTCATTCCCTCATAGAGCTTGTTTTTATTATTTTTTTAATTTTAATCTCTTTGACTTTAATTTTATTAAGATATTTTTTATAGAGCTTTATTTTTGCCAAAAATTTCAATTGTTCATTTTTGAGTTAGATTTTTTTTAAATATTTTACCACCCTTATCTCACTCTAATTCTGATAAAAACATCATTAATTTATTTGTTAAATTTTTTTCCTCAGAAAAAATTGGTAAGCCAGATAATAACTAGTAGAAAAAACTCTTGGGTCCCTAAAAAATGTATCTAAATAATTATTTGGCTAGTAAGTAGAACGTACAACAAAGTATACTGTTTTTTCCTATTCTCTAATTTTTATGCTGTTTTTGAAATCAACACTTCAGTTACTACTACTAAAAAGAATTTCAAAATAAAAATAACAAAAAATTGGTTGTGTCGAGTTGGGACATACAAAAATAGATTGATTGTAGGCATGTGTCGAGATGGGCAACTTTAAAGCGTCCTGGATATGATGGGAGAGATATTGCAGTATATCTAGCTTTCTTCCTCCTATGTTATTTATTGTGCCATCTGTAAACTATCGATTTCCGTTGAAGATTCAGTGAATCTATGTGTATACGTTTATGTATATATTTATTTGTATATTTAGAATATTATGTTTTAGGTAATGAAGGAAGCTTCAATGGAAACTTTTTGGGATCTGCATTAGATGGTGGTAAAAATATTGACGATCCTTTTATTGTGAGTAAAACCATTTTAAGAGATTTTTCTTTAGGATACAATATGACGGTAAATATACAACAGTACAGAAATTGTAACTTTAATCAGAGTTGTTATGGAAGTGACGCTGCTGTCAAACTTATTTTAAACATTTTTTGTTATCTGTCAGGGTAGTCAACAATGTGAACAAGATGCTTACAACCAAAGAAAAAAAAATTATTTGTGAAGCTTATAATCGCTCATACGGGTTTGGCAGAAATAATGAACGCAGCATTAAATAAGTTGGATCTTAGTTTGAGCTCGTCTTGAGCTATGCGTCAGAATGGTGGGCATATAGAGCAAATCATTGGATAATATAATAGACACTAACTTTGTTATTTTTGTTAAATCTGTTAATATTTATAGGTGAGCAATGTCCTCCTAAGTTAGAATCATATGGAAAACTTTTTTATTATTAATTTAAGAAAAAAAAGTTATTCTTCATAAAAAGTTCTGCATTATCTAAAACTTAGAATACAGTCATCAAATTTTTCAAGCCGTATACGAGGTTTGTCAAAAAATATGAATTTTGCTCAAGAGTAAAGTACGTTTATTTTTGACAAAATCGAAAATTTTCATTAAGAAAAGTTGATTAGAATTGAAAATTACATTCAAATGTGCAATTACACCGATCTATCTGAAAAATCAGATTTTTTTCTAGATTTTGCATTTATCCACCTAATTACGGTAATCCATAATTTTTTCTCTCTCTTCTCTACTATAAACATGATACGCTTTCCTTTTCTTGATGTATGTGAAGAATTTAGCAATTTTATCAATGAAAATTTTCGATATTGTCAAATTTAAAGGTACTTTACTCTTAAGTAATACTCATATTTTGACAAACCTCGTATACCACTGAAAAAATTTGATATTTGATGACTGTATTCTAGGTTTTATATAATGCAGAACTTTGTATGAAGAATAACTTTTTTCCTAAAATTAATAATAAAAAAGTTTTCCATATGATTCCAACTTAGGGGGACATACTGTATATACATAAGCTTCAGTACTGTATATTTCTGGTCATTCTGTATTATCAATAAACTATGAAAATGTCATTAAAATCGACCATACATTTTTCTGCAATATTAATTAATCACTCTGTATACTGCAATGACTAGTTAAAAAAGAGCATTATAAATATAGACTTATGTACTGATTTTTATTTAATTTTAAAGGTTTGTGCGCCTAGAAAAGTCGAAATATTACGAACTGATGATACTGTAATACATTGGTTAAGAGGAATATGTATATTAAAGAAAAATTCATCTTTACTTAACGGAACAACTGGAAACACTAAACCTTTCCGTCATCTAAGTAAGTAGTTTAATACAAAGTATCGAATTATTTCCAAATATTTCAAATAATAAGTAGACAAAGACCTAAAAAATATAAAAATTATGTTCTGTCATAAAAGCGGGACCATCTTTAATTTGTCGAATTAAAAAAAAAAAAAAAATCGGTGCCATCGACAATCAGATTTAAATTTTGACAACAATTTTAAAATCGCCCAGATTTTAAAATTTAAAATGATATAACATGGCATCGCCAATAAGCAAATGGTAAATTCCTAAGTGCTTGAAAACTCCCAAATCTAGATTACATAAGCTCAGTAATTTTTGACAAACTGTTTAGGTAGGTAAGGGTAGGTCGAAAATGAGTGGGATGATCTCATCGCCTTCCACTGCGACTTAGATGGATCTATTGTGGCTCATGTCTAAAGTTATAGTTCACCGTACGCGCCACACCTTTCGAAGAAGGCTAGGGCTGAATTTGGCGAGACTTGTTTAAAGTCAGTTGGCTCTAGTAGGGTGAATCCGAAGATCATTGACAATGTCCTGCTGTCGTAAGTCCCGTGAAAATGCGTAGATCTTTCCTACTACATTCCCGGATGGGTTCAGAGAAGGGTTGGGTATAAATTCTTTCGAATGAGTTAGTCCTGGGATATCTCTCAGTTCATTAGAGTTACACCCTATGTAGATTTTGAGATAAAATTACTGAAAAAAAAAAAAAAAAAATCGTTGCAAGGGCAATGCTCTTATTTGAGAGCCATACAAACATTTTGAGAGTCATACAAACATTTTGAGAGTATTTAAACAAATTTTTCGACTTCTGGTTTCAATTTTACACCTAGTTCAAAAAAACAAATCAGTTACACCCAAGTTGCATTTTTTTTGCATATGAACCTTTGTGAATTAAAACTGCAAATATTAAAAGTTGGTTGCCTAATTTTTATAATACCGATAACCGGAAGGTTCTATTTAATAGTAGATCATCGGAACAAAACATTGAAACTTTCTTTACTTTAAAAATATATGTTCTGTGCTGGTTGTCAACCAAGGACGACTGGTCCGTCTTGGCGCACAAAATGTCTGTCAGTTGTAAAATAAGTTCTTAATAAATTAAGTTGAACGTAAATGTTTTATTACAAGCAATTCAAATACACAAAAAAAATCCTTGCAATACCATCTTATATTAAAAAAAAGCGTTTCAGCTATATTCCGAATTTCTTTGAAAAATACAAATATCCGGTCACGTAGTCTAAATCCTTATACCGGAAATAGCAAAACAGGACGACACAAAATGCTTGCAAACGGATTTTTTTTTTGTTATAGACGTCTAGAAGCATATTATTATTTAATTGCCAGCAAAACACAAAAATCCATTGACAAGCCATTTTAGGTTGAATTTGCAACCACCGGGACATAGTACATGTTTTTTATTCCCTTCCCTGTACCCATCTACAAATAACAAACAAAAAACACAACATGCCATTTTTTGGGAGTCAGATGAGCGACTAATTAGCGATTACCCATCAAAATATAAAATTTATAATTTTCTGTTGACGGGTGGCAAAAAAAGTTGTTGTTTGTCATTCTGGAAAAATAAAATCACCAAGTTTTTTGGCCCTTTAATTAAAGTTAAAATGTGCGGCAATAATATGACGTCTCTGAGAAGTCCAGGACTAATTATCACCAAAAAAATGACATCGCGGGTCGTTGCACAATTTTAAGTCAATAAATATTGCACATAATAAAACGGCTTGATTGGAAAATGAAAAAAAAAGTTATATAAATTTAACTTAAAGCTATTCTTATATTATAACCCTGTAATTGGTAATATAAATAATATACACAATGCACACATTATAGAGGGAGAGGCAGAATAACGAGCGATTTTAAAGAACCCAGCAACCACGTTGTATCGTTGGGAGGTGATAGGGAAACTATCAGCTACGTTTCTTGTGTATTAGAATTTAGAAATAATGGAGCGGTGGATCCTTCACCAGCGCGCGTACGCTGTAAATGCGTTTCATGAAGAGGGTTTTTTCCCTGGGCTCGTCTGTCAGTCTCCGACAACAATGAAGCCTAATGGCCTATTGTATTTGATCCATGATAATTCATAGTACCGACTGTCACCCTAGTCCCTTGTACAAGTCCTTGACAGGGTGTCTTATAGGTTCTATTGGATAAACCTGTGGTTGTCTAAAAAGTGCTTGTCTTTTGCGAACCAATGCATCGCACTTGCATAGTATGTGTTTGGGTGTTTCTGGTTCTTTGTGACAGAGTCGACACAATATGTCTCCATTTTGAACATCGTCTTCCTAGAAAGATCTTCGCATGTGCTTGTTTTGGGACATTTTCCCAATAGTTTTTGTATTTTCTCCGAACCCAGTCATTTATAAAATCTCGTGTACGTTTTGGAACTCCAAGGTTTATATATGGATTCCGGTATTTCTTCTGATCCTCTTTTTTCGATTTTGTCATCCTTTTAATTGCCCTCGATCTCTTGATGACCTGGCACCCAAACTAGTTATACTCTATTTCGATCTGCCAGTGTTCTCAGTTCTTCGATGCAATCCCATACGAGTCTAGATATCACTTTTTAAATTGATATGTCCTAAAGGGTCGTTTGACAGCTTATTTGAGTTAGCCCTCCCATTGCTTGTTCTTGCACATTGCAAGATTGCATAAACCTCAGCCTGAAACACAACCTTTTGCACAGCTAACGTTGGTGTGAGAGTTTTTGGAGAATACACTAGCCCTAGTATCTTCCGTAGTCTTTTATACGTCTGTGTACCAAGTATTTTTCTGTTGTTGGGCACTGGGTTCCCTTATAGTGAGTAATCTCTGTTCTGTTTGGTATTAAGACCTTGACTGGAGTATTAAAGGAGTAACGTTTGGTTATGTTGGTGTGTTCTCATGACTAGTATGTCCCCTTTCACTATCCTTGTAGTACTGATGTGACCTGGTCTAATGTTAAGATTGCCCAAGGTATTCTTAATCTGTAAGCGTCTAATCTTGCCTATCCTTGTAACTCAAGAGAAGTGGTGGCAAGCCTATTAGTGCTTCTATTGCTACTGTGGGAGTTGTTTCTTTTGTCCCCGTTATTCCAGGCGAGTCTTTGTATCTTGCTTAGACTCGTTATTGCCGCGCTTTGTTTTGTCTTTGGGCACCACACCTAAGATGCGCATTATTATCGGTCTTACCACCATGTTGTATGTCCACTATACCATACTAGAATTCAGTCCCAATTTTTTTCCAAAGAAGTGTCTTGCCAGCATTAGTGACCCTCTTGTATACAGTCGGTATTTGTAGTTTTGTATTTACCTTGCGCCACTAGATCATCGGCATATCCCAGGTTCTTATGTCCATTATTTTTGAGAGTACTAAGCAGCCTATCCACCACCAGATTCTACAGGACTGGAGACAGTACACCTTTCTGTGGCCATCTCCTCGCAACCCCAGCTGCTATCGTCTCTCCCATAATGGTTGCATGTATCATTCTCGCTCTTAGCATAGAGTCTATCCAGGTCACACATGTGTTCTCGATTCCTCTATGTTTCAGAGTTCCTATGATAGAGTCATCCTAGGTATTGTCGACTGTTTCCTTGATGTTCAGGAACGCTCCTAAAATTACCTCCTTGTTTCCAGTATGTTCTCCACCCTATTTACTAATTGATGGAGAGCTGTTGATTTTCCTGCACTATAGGCATATTGATCCTGGTTTATTGGTCTTTGAACCATTATCTCGTCTTTAACATATCTATCTAGCAGTTTCTCCAAAGTCTTAGGTACGAAAGATATTAGACTTATTGATCTTAGGAGCTTTTCCGTTCCCAGTTCGATTTTTCCAGGTTTTTGTACGAAAGTGATCAACTCGCCATGCTCTTAGAATGTATCCAAAGGGCAGGCTACTTCCAAGTATGCTGCATAGTCTTTTACATAAAATATCAGATCCTTTTTTTTAGCATTATTAGATAAATCGCGTCAATTCTCGGTGACTTGTATGTTTCAAATGAGCTGATTACTCATTTCAGTTTGTCATGAGCCACCTTTTTTTGCCAATCTGCCAGTCCTCCATGTTGGCTCTTTTACGCACTTTTAGTCTATTTAGACTCCAGATTGCGGTTTCTTTTTTATGGAAAATACATACTAAAAAGTTCTCTTATCGTTTCATTCCCTGTTTTTGTATACTCTCCTAATTCATTCTTAATAGATGTTATTGCGTTTTGAAAGGATTTTCTGGCATCTGGAATAATCCTCATAGTGCTTCCTCCAGGAATCTTTATTGACTTTCCGTAAGGCTTTGTTATAACTGGTCCGTATGGTGCTATATTCCTCCTATCTCCCTGTTTTTAAGCCTTGTTGGAGTTTTTCCTTACTTATTTCCTTAGCTTCGCAAGCTCATTGTTGTAGCATAGAACATTCCTGGTTGAGTTCCTTGCTATTTAAGGAAAAGTATCGTTGAACGCAATGGTGACTTGTCTTTAAGTTTCTCCACTGCCATTTCAAGGTATGTTATTCTTCTTATCGTCATTCTCATCTTTGGAAGGGAGTATTCTTCCCAGTTTGTTTACCGGATGTTTCGTATCATTGGTAATATTACCTTTTATTTTAAAATTTATGTGTTTGTAATCTGAACAACTTTCCTTATTTAGACACATGCCATCCTGTAACATAGTTATTCAAATAAGTTAAGGCTATTGTTACATCGAGTACCTACCTCCCTTCTATTATTTGTAATAAAGGTAAGTTTATTGCTTATATTTATGTTTAAATTATTTGCCGTGATAAATTGTATTTTGTGGTGGTTATCACAGCCGATGATCGTTTAAAGTCCATTGCACCTGCGGAATCCCACCAGCTCCTCCAACTTCTCTGATAGGTGTTTCTTCAGAGTTATTTAAAGGAAAATATGCCGAAACGATTAATATGTCCCTCGGCTCACTCCCCTCATTAATCTTTGTTCTCTTCGATGTTAATTCCCTAGAACAAAAATTAGTTAACAGTAGTATTTTGATTCCTCTTTTAACCATTACGCATGTTCTGGGGATGTATGTGGATCTGTTGTATATCGACTCTCCATCCACACCTCCTAATCCTTTTATTTTACCGTATCATATCCACGGTTCCTTTATCACTGCTACTTCAAACCTCTTTATAGCAGCTGAAAGTACTACCGAAGCAGATTAACAGTGCTAGATGTTGACCTGTAGCATTCTGAACGCCTTCGTCCAGGTCTAAGATAAAAACCAGCACTCTAGGTCATCTCGGTAAGTCCTTGGTTTAAATCTCGGTTAAATCCTCCCCCTTTCCAGTGTACCAACCATTCCCTTAGCCAGTCAACTTTCCCAGCTTATAATAGGCTGTGACCTTTCTAAAGATTTCTAGGATGCCCTATCGATTGAAAAGGCCAAGAGTCCTTTCTTTTCAATATTTTGTCCCATCAGCAGCCAGTCCTTCGTCTCCAGCTCCTACTTCGGACAGATCTGGGATAAAAACCAGGACTCTAGGTCACCTCTGAAAGTCCTTGGTTTAAATCACGGTTAAATCCTCCCCCTTTCCATTGTACCAACCATTCCTCTTAGCCAGTCCGCTGTTTTTGGATTAGCGCATGTCACTCAGATGACCTGTTCCACCAATGCCTCATTTATTAAGTCTGCTTATCCTTGATACAGTATAGTATCTGGATGTGTACTATCGATGACCGTCAGCCAGATTTCTCTTAAGGTGTCACTCTACGTGCCAGTCGATGCCATACGATTCCTGGCCCTTTTTGTTTCACCTTGAATGGGGGGAGTCTGCAATCCCTTCTATACATGCTCCTCCATCCTTTTATATTTTATCTGTGCAGTCGTTTGCCCTGCTAGAAGTTTTGAAAGATAAGAGTCGTCTGTTTTCTCAGATCCTCTCTTCTCTGAGATACCAAAGTCCCATGCTGACGCAGTTCCTCCTTCCCTCAAACTTTCAAAGTCCAATGACACAGCAATCTCTTTGACTGCCATGTGCAAGGAGCCTGAGTCGTTCAAGTCTGACTCTTCTCTTTAAGTGTTTTTGGTTTTCTTCATAATTTTTCCACTTATATCTAATCCCAGGAGTATAGAGGGAGGGATGGTTCAGCTCTGCAGTGCCCCTAAGGTTGGGTACTTGTGGGTGACGCCCGGTGCCAACAAGGGAATGTTTGCTGCTGCATATAGCCCTGCGATATTTCATTCCTCAGCACGTTATCTTACACCTTAAATTGGGGGCGTTGCTTCGCGGCGGCAGCCTTTGCCAAATATTTTAAGTTTATAGACTCACTCTACTTATGTCGGCAGCAGGAACATAAGTTGGAAAGGCTTTTTACAGTTCTTCCACTTCATATACAGGAATTGACAGGTTTGTCGCAGAGCTAGCCGAAGTGAAAGCGATACATTGGCGTAGAAAATTATGTTAAAGATGTTAATAACAAATTCAGGTAAATAGTTTATTAAATTGTGGTACAGCTGTTAACATTTTGTAGAATTATAATTTAGGATATATTTAGGATCCATAAATACATGCGATTGTCTGGTTCCGCCGGTAACAATTTAAAATTACTTATTCTATGAAACGGCGCTAACAGATAATTATTACCGAAGTCGTCGTCCACCTTGGTTTGACGTTTATCTCCTCTCCACGCACCAAAAGCTTTTCCAACTAGTGATGGGAAGAATCAGGTATCGGGTACTAAGGGATCGAGTACATCGCGGAATCGGATATTTTATTGAATACCGAGTACCGAGTATTTGCATCAACCGAGTAAAACGACGATCACCGACACCGATCACCGATCCAATTATATTCAGCGATTTCAGCGTCTCGAACTTCAAACTCGACATAACTGCGTATTTCAATTCCGTCTCAGTCAGCAACTCAGCAGTGAGCAGCGCTACGGGACGGATCGCGATTCGAAACAGCATCGTCTAATATCAAAAATCGGAATTGATTCTGACGCCAGTCGTCAGTATTCGAATACTACCGATTCTTTTAGGAATCTGGTATTATCCGATTCCTGTACTCGAGTACGCCTATCACTATTTCCAACTTCTGACCCTGCTATACCACTAACCAGGGGGGCTATTTTCAAACTCGAGAGAATTCATTTACATCAAGAGAAATGTCATACGTCAACGTAAAACCGTATTTTTAGGGCTTTTAGGGCCAGTGTGAACTCACTGACTGTTTCTCTCGGTTTATTTAGAGATAATTAATATCCTCATAAGAATTTTAATCCTCGAGGCCTTTAAAAACAGCGTTTCCACATTGACGTATGACATTTCTGATGAGAATCTTGAGAGAAATGAGTGCTCCCATATTTTGAAAATAGCCCCCCAGGGAAGTTCTGGCCGTTCTCCAATCCACCACCCGGAGACACGCTCAGAGTCACTATTATTAGTAGTCGCTTTGTAAATAAATGCGACTTAGATTAGAGGTTCAATGAGTTTGTGTTTAAACAATTATTGATATTTTTTTCAGAATCACGTTTACAACTTCCTCCATATTTGTTTGGACAAGCCGGATTTGATATTTCGTATGATAAAGTAAGTGTAAAGTTTGATATATTTTGAAAATTAATATTTTTTTTTTAGAATTCTTCATCTGAGTATTTAGGAGCAGTTGGCATTTTAAACGAGACAGGTATGTATACTCTCATTGCCAACTGAGTATAGATTTTTAGTTTTTTTTTTAATTCTTATTAAGAACAAATTGTTATTCAAACGTTTAGTTTTGAATAGTATTTGTTTATCAGATGTGTAGCTGATTTTTATTTTATAAACAGGTTCTGTTGTGGTAAAATCTTTAAAAAATATTATGTCTAAAGAAAAGATTCTTTCCGTTGCCGTCGTACATGAAAACGAATATTTAGGTAAGTTAAATTTCATTTAAAATAACAAGAATAAACCCAGCTAGCATATAAACATCCATCCCATCTACGCTAATATGCTGAAACTCAGAAATCATTAAATTCCCATTTGATGTTATTTTAATGAAACTCTAACCTAATATCCATGGAAACTCCGATTGTCCGCAACTGCAGGAGTTTTATAGCACCTTTCATAGAGGTTACAAAGGGAAGTTCAGAAAACAACACACCAGCAGTGTTACAGTACTTTCCCCCGAAAATTGTTCTGAAACATTTTATATATGTTATAAATTGAGTTAGTTCTACAGTATTATACAGTTTTTTATGTAACGTAATATTGAAAGGTTGATTATAAACATATGAAGGTTTTAGTGAAACCTCATGGAAATTTCTAAATTTCAAATCAAATTTGTTTGTATAAATGTTTTATCATAATACTGCTAAAACGAACGTCACAAAAGTAGAGAAACAAATAAAATAGGTATATCACACAGAAACGCAATTGCACGTGTACGATGCCTTAAGGTACCTATAAAACAGAACGATTACACAAAAG